ATAGAGAAGAAAGAAAATGGCTCCACAGAAAAGCATTTGTCACCTTTTTTATAATTTATTTGGTGCTCTGAGAACCGGCACGGTGTTGATAACCTTGCAGATTGTGGAGAAAATTCCACATCGTTATATGGTTCAGGGTAAGGCCTTGGTTTGGGAGAAGAATTAACCGCAGGTGGGATTGCAATAGACAAATTCGCAGAGGGCTTGTCTTGCCCAGAAATCTGTTTTCCAAAATTGATTTCGTCACTATTTAATTAAAAAATGAAGAACAAAGCACCTATATAGTTTTCACTCCTCAAAAAGAGATCAAGCTGCCAGCCCACAACCATCAGCAGAAGAACACCAAGCAGGTTCCTGCTATCACTTATAAGCAAAAGCCAATGAGTATTACGAGTCTACCAATGCTTCATAGGATCCTTCATGGGAACTGGATAGGGGCTGACTTCATTGATAACTCATTGAGGAGCAAAAATTAATCTAGAATAAAGCAGCATTAAAAACCTATACCAGCAGCATACTTTAATTTGTACAAAGACAGCAGAGTAAAGTCAAATTCAAATAGAACAAATACTTCAAGCCAATATCTGAAGCATCCAACTGACAAAGGTGAATTAAAACCATCATAAATTCAGCTGTTCTAGGATTTGACATACCGCAAATTTCAATGTCCGATTGTACAGTGTAACAAGTCCAGTGAAAAGCTTGACAGCATACTCAGCTATCTCCTCTGATTCATATTGTGCAAAGGCATAACCTTTTGGCTTTGCAGTTTCCTTATCACGAGGAATATACAATTCTACAACACGCCCTGCTTGAATCAGAATATCATACAATACCCTATCGCTCACTCTCTCATCCAAATTGCCTGTATAAAAAGGATATCAAACCCAAAGTCATAAATACAGTCCTCTCAATGAATTGATCAATTGGAGAATAACTAACAACATTCTCTGATAATTTCGCCAAAGGAATCAAACAGTGAATAATCTGAAAGTGCAAAGCTTACAACATGGAATTGAAATTATTCTAGGAAGATCATATAGAGCTTAGTTTTTCATACCTCAAAGATTTGATATATTAGAATTTCTTTTATACCTGCATAATTAACCCTACAAAATGGAACCTTGTATTTCATTGTAACCAGATTATTGATTATAGATCATTGATTTACAGAAATCTTCCTCCGCAAATTCTAGTTTTCTTCTTTCCTAAATTTGTATTTCTTCTCTATCTCTCCTATTCCATCTCTTTCTTCTCTTCTTCAATCTGCTTCTCCCTTGTTTTGAGTTCTGAATCAGCCTAGTATTTCAGTAATGCTTCTTTCCCGAAAACAATTTTTCACAATCATTTTTTTTTCATTTTTTAAATTACAGAAAAAATAATAATAACCTTAATTGTACCCATCATACATAATGGTACACGATCTCATGTGTTTAAAACAAAAAGAAATTTCCCCGACTGTTTCAAAGACAAGATGCACAGTAACATTACGATTAAACTCCAAAAGATACAAGCTTAAAAGGAAATATATAGATTGGATAACTAGTAAATCATAACATAAAAACCCTAAGTGCTTCGTGTCTCAGTAGATTACAATAGAATATAACGATAATTCGGAATCAATTCCCCCAGATTGGAATTGAATAATACAATGAGAAAATAGTCAAATCTAGATGAAGGAAGCCAAATTAAACTAAAAAGAGATAGATTCAACAAAGAATTGAGAAAACTTTACCGACGTAAACAGAGGACTTCGGATTTTCTGCCATTAGTTGGAAAAAAAGTCTTTCCGGTTCTGGAGACTTCTATTTGCAGCTTTGCCTGGGCTCAATTCTGCATTTATACTGTTTACTTTACCTAATCCTCGTCGAAATTTATAGCCTGGACTGGAATAGGGAAGGTTTTATAATCTCCGAGTATGACCTGGCTGTCAAGTAACTTTTAAAAATTAAATAATTTTTTCCCGTGAATAAGAAAAATGCTTATTTCGATGTGAAACTAAAATAACATTGTTGCAAAATAGCTTATTATAAATAAGGGTGCGTTTGATTATTAGCAAAAAAAAAAAAAAAAGTTTTATGTAAACAAAATAAATTTTAAACAATTCAATTGTTTAGAAGTTATTTGTATACAAATTATTAATTAAACGTATTTGATTTATTTATTTTTCAAACTAGAAAATAGTATACTTGTCTTTTTCTTGTTAGTGGATAGATGAGAGAAAGAAATGGAGAGTGAATTATCTGAAAAATAAAAAGTAGTAAAAAATATGGTTACATGATCAAAAGTCGAAAAATATTTTTTTATGAAAAAATTGTCAATCAAACTTCTCAAAAGTAAAAATTTGGTCAAAAAATGACGTCTTTCATGAAAATAAAGTCAATCAAATGCACTCAAATCAACGTGAAATTAATAAATATTTTATTTCAAAGAATATCTTATTATAAATAAAAGAAAATAATAGGAAATAATATTAATGTGCTTTTATTGATTTTATTTATACACGGCCAACTCATGTGAGTATGTGGGACTTTATAAATAATAAACACAAAGAAATTGTATTAAATTTATTTCAAAAAGTGTAACATCTAAATAGTAATGGCAAAAAAACTCGCATCAACATGATCCATCCTGTATGGGGCAAAAAATCCACCCCGAATGGGTTGACGGGGCAGGGCAAGGTAGGGTGGCCCGTTGTGGGCCACAGGCGTAGGGCGCCCGTGAAGGAAAAAAATTAAAAATAATTTTATTTTTAGACAATTCACCCGTTAAAAGCTCATTTTGAATTTGTATTTTATTCTTTAATAATAACATAAGTTGAAACTTTAAATATGTAAAGAAAATTAAAAAAAATTAAACGAGACAAAAAGTCACCCCACCGCCCCATCTCGGGTGGGACGAGGGTGAAGGGGGGGCGCCCAGTCCCATTTTGTAAGAACCTGTGGGCTTATGGGCTAGTCTGTCTTCCAGTTATTGGGTCAGTCTGTCTTCCTATTAATTCCTTTAAGTATTGTATTTGGTCATTAGTTAATGAAGTCCAATGGGTTATGCTTGACCCAGTCCAGTAGTAGAAATAAATACCAGAGTTGACTGAGTCCACAGTCATGTCTGAGTCTTTAGGAAGAGTCTGTAGTGCAGTAGTCATGTTCCTTATTTTTCTGAAGTAGAGTCTGTTAGAGGAAGACGTGGGGAA